AATTCCGCAACAGTCTGTTTCATCAGTAAAGAATCATCAGGCGGTATGACAAGTTTCGAAAAATAGGACTGCTTATATGGTTTTGGCCGGAACGTGGGTGTGCGTGGGTGTGTGTATGTCCTCAGTCATGCATTGCTTCTGAAGTGGGCATATTGCGTTTTTCGAACAACTGCAATTGACAGTGCCCTTGCACTGTGCCTTGTTCTTCCTAGCTATATGTGCATTGTGCTTAGTGATTATAGACTTAACATTGCTCATGCAGCTATAACTTACTTTTACCGCTGTATTTCTGTTAAAGATCTTATGCAGCTTGTGGTGCGAAGGAAAGTGCTTGTCGATAAGGTTAAGAAAATTACGCCCTATATTAGTGCTGACATTCATGCTAAATGGTGGGTTGAACCAAATGATATTACGTTGCCTATTTCTGCGTGCTTGCTGTGGTGCGTGTTGAGTGTAGTTAAGATCATGATTAAAGTTGCTATGGTCAAGTGCGTTTTGGTATGCAGGTGCAGATTCCATAAATGTTTGTTCATCTGATGAAAGCATTGCGATGCGCTTGTTAACTGATGTAGGAAGCTGCCTTATAATGCTAGGTGGATGGTTAGAGTACCTATTTATGTATAGCGGATTGTCATTGGGCTTTCTATAGGGCCTATATTTTCCGTTGTTAAGATTGAAAGTTACATCTAAAAAGTTTACTATGCGTAAATTATATATATATAAATATATATATATATAAATTATATATATATAAAATATATATATATGTATATATAAAATATATATATATGTATATTTATATAAATTATATATATATAAAATATATATATATATGTATATATAAAATATATATATATGTATATTTATATAAATTATATATATATAAAATATAAATATATATATATTTATATATATATGTAAATTATATATATATGTAAATTATATATATATGTAAATTATATATATATAAATATATATATATATATATATATATATATATATATATATATATATATATATATATATATATATATATATATATATATATATATATATATATATATATATATATATATATATATATATATATATATATATATATATATATATATATATATATATATATAGCTTAAGATTTTGGTTTACGAAACACAAACAGTCCTCAATACCATATAGATAGAGCGTAATATAGTTTTTCGTTTTATCTCAAAAAACCACAACAGTCTGTTTCATCCGTATAGGAATCATCAGGTGGTATATATATATATATATATATATATATATATATAGTGAAGAAATTCCGTACAACATCAGTGTCAGAACGGAATTTAATAGTGCGTATCCAAGACAAAAGTAATAACTTTGTATTTTTAGACAAGGATATGGACTCTTGTAAGGTTAGGGAGCAAATGGAACGGGGGTCTTTTAAAATGTTGGAACAGGATATCTCAGTTGAACCGTGTTCCGAAATTTTGAAATGGGCAGAAAAATGGGAATCTAGGGGTTTGTCTCATAGATGGATCGAGTTTATTACTAATTTTAATAGGCCACACCCAGGTATTAATTATCCCCTAATTAAAACTCATAAAACCCATAACCACGCACGTGTCATCACGTCTGGTTGTGGTACGCCCACCGAAAATTTATCATTGTTTGTTGAAAAGTATTGTAGTATTGTAGTTGATTCCATCTCTTGTCGTGTGCGGGATACTGCACATATGTTAGATATAATTGATGAGTTAAATTTGGCGGGCGTTCAGGATGGGGATTTGTTGGTTTCGATATAGCCAACATGTTTCCATCTATTAACAACCAGACAGGGGTTGAGCGTGTTCAGCGTAAATTGTTTGAGTATGCCAGTAATTTTGACATACCTGTGGAATGTATTATTGAGGCATTGGAGATTTGCTTGAGGCGCAATTGTTCCACATATTGTGGACAATTTTGGTTTCAAGAAAACGGTACAGCTATGGGTCCGAAAAATTCTTGCTCATATCGTAGCGGAAGAAATTGACAAACAAGTTCTAAGGTCGCAATCTATTTATCCTGAACTTAAATGCTGGTTTCGGTTTCGGGATGATACTATTGTATTATGGCGAGGTATGGTTGAACGCCTTCAAGCATTTTTTCAAGACCTAAATACATTTGATGCCCACCTTCAGTTTACTATGGAGATTGGAGGGCGAAGTTTACATTTCCTCAACCTTTTGATCACCATAGTTGACAATAAGCTAGTTACATCGGTCTATAGTAAACCCACCGATGCCCATTTATATATCAATGCAAAGTCTTCCCATCCCAAATCTCAAATATTTGGGATTGCGAAGGGTGTTGGATTGAGATTGCGTAGAATATGTTCTGATGATGAGGATTTTAAACAAAAGAGTAAAGAATATTGCAAATACAGTGTATCTGACGGATTGTGGGCACGATAGTGAGCACGTTCTTAAAGTATTTAACGAAATTGGGAGCATGACACGCCAGCAAGCGCGTAGCCGCCCCCCCCATCACAAAAAAAATTTCTCTGAAAAAGGCTAAATCCGTAGAGAAATTGGGGGGGGGGGGAGGGGGGTACATGAGGAAAACGACGATAATACTGGAGGAACTTGATTTGTAAAATCTCGTTAAAGCAGTTGTAGATATGCATGGTTCCAAGAAGAATAGATTTAGTTTAGATTTACATGTATGCATTATCATAGCATGAATATTCTTCTCAGACTTATTCTGTATCGTATAGAAAAGCAAGACAATTTTGAGAATGTGGAAATGCTGTCTCATATATAGAACCTAGAATGATTTAAATGCAACATTTCTGATCAAAATCACATTGGGATTTTCTTCCCCAAGCATCACAGAGGGGAAATAAGGTGACGCTGACCGGCTCCTCCTGTTTTTCAAGGTGACTTTTACAATTGATTTAATTCCAAGTAGAAAATTAGAAATGTCTGGGAAAATTTATGTCTTCGATGTACTTTATAATCTTCGGAATTCTGCAAGATTTCACCCCCAAAATGCTTGAAATCGCATTTCAGGGACTCTAGATTTCAAAATTTTCCAAGGGAACATGCCCCCGGACCCCCATAGATGGTCTCGCACCTTCAGTGTTCGCTTCGCCCCCCCCCCCCCCCC